GAACGAGTCTCGGAACTGGGCGAAAGAAAAAGGACCGACACGTGGCTCCGACTTCCGACGAACGACTAACAGCCCATTGTAGACCGGGCCTGATACGACATTTGCGTGCGGAACCGCGAGCGAGCGTACAAAAGTTATTACCGCGTTTTATTGCCGCTGTCAAGAGCTGCTTTTACAATTAGTGGCAATTTGACGGACGCACCACGCACGTGTCGTGTCATGCGTGATACGACGCGGGGCGCCATCTACCGCGCGAGTGCTCGTTGTTTGTACACGTTGGACGCTGCTACGCTGTTGACACGCGCGATTGCGCCCATTTCCAAGTTTTCCTCGTACAATTTGTATTCTCCCATTGAAGTGATACGTACGTACAGATGTAACTGTCCTTGTGTCGAGGCTCTCGTCCCGGGACTCTTCCAGCGATGTTTCGACCGCTTTTCTCCAAGCCGGGTGAGGTTATGTTGCTCGATCGTGTGTTTATCGCGATTCTATTAAAGTGGGCCGCTACGGCTTTTGCATTGTGGATTACCCGGGATCACGTTGGTGGATAACAGTTGCCCGACTGCCGTTTCGGACCGAAGGCAACGTGCAATTCGACAATTCGTCTATCTAACCTTCCTGACGGAGACGCTTTGCCGAAAGTGCTAATCGATGAGACGAGAGATGAGAGTCATTGAAGACTGAATATCTCAACAACGAAGCATAATTTCCCTTGTGAGATTCAGCGAAACGTGATTCGTCAAGGTCTACAGTTGAAAATAGTAAAGATTGTAAAATGTTACGAATTTAATGATTGCGTTACTTTCCAATGAAAATGATTTCTCGCTGAATCTTTATTGAAATGTCGATAAAACGACGACACGGGATCGACGGAGAAAGATTTTCTAGCACGTTCTAGCACAATGCCGTACTTTCAGCAAGGCGTCTCCAGCTGGGCTGCACGGTGGAACGTAAAGCAACTGCATGGAACCCCATGTTTGATGTGCAACTCGAGAGCTGCGAGATATCAATCACTAACCGAGTAAACTTTATTGATTAGGGGATAGCACGTGGCAGGAGGATAAGCCCGATATCGATGCCCACTCGTCGACGCAATTTGTTTACAATGCGCATCACTCGCTCGCGCTCGACATGCAGCGTCAACGGCTGCCCATATTCAGAAACAAAGACCACATTATTTATTTGTTGGAGAAATACCAGACCCTGGTTCTGGTCGGCGAGACGGGTTGTGGTAAAAGCACGCAAGTTCCCCAGGTGAGACTCGAACGTACGGTACATCGGTTAAGACGACGGACAGCCCGTAGCATGCGTATTACATTCATTACATTCACATAACTATCTTATGCCCGTTTCTACCAGTGCGGATTAAGGGCCTGAGCGGAATGGCTGTCTTATACTCTTAAGACAGCCTTAAGACAATGGTTCATGTTTTAAGCCTTTGTCTTGAGGTAACTCGCAATAAAGCCAACGGCACACGATACTATTTTTCTTACTGGATTACTTACGAGAGCCAATCAAGATGCAGAGTTTTAGATCAGGTGACTTTAGGCTAAATCCTGATTGGCTCTCGTAAGCAATCCAGTAGGAAAAATAGTACCTTGTACTGTTGGCTGTTTTATGTCTTAAGAGTACAAGACATTCTGCTCAGGCTCTAAGGGCCCTAAGGGCCTGAGCAGAATGAGCTGTCTTGTACTATTAAGACAATGTTTTATATTTTAAAACTTTGTCTTAAAGCAACGCACAATAACTGTCTTGTGTCTTAGGAGTACAAGACAGCCATTCTGCTCAGGTCCTAACTTTAATCTCGGCTTAAACAACTTCTTGTCTTTTTCCAATTCCTAAAACTAGAAAAAGATACAAAGTAAGTTGAACCGAGATTAAAGTTAAACTGCTTTGGTAGAAACGGGTATTGGGCCCGGTTACACCAACGTCGTTTAACTTCAAGCTTAGCTTAATTCGTTCTTTGTCTCCTTCCACTGTTGCTCCAGAAAGAGACAAACCTGAGTTAAACTAAGATCAAAGTTAAGCGACGTTTGGTGAAACCATGCCTTAATTCCTACTACTATGGGTATCAATAATCGCCGGTATCGGTGTTTCACCAACAACGTGCGTTCACGTAACGCTTAACGCCCTGCCGAGAGAGCCAACGATTCCTTTATTCGAATTGCAAAGCTATTTTACAGTCATCCACATTTTCCGAAAGGCGCACAAAGAGTTGGGGACTCCAGTTGCTCGGTAGCACACGCCGTGCTAAAGTTTAATCTACAACGTGTACTTTGCAATTAGAAACCTTCTATTTTGTGCAAGTGAATCAGTACGTTTAAAAAATTGATCGACAATGCGTGATTGTACTCGTATAATGTACAATTAATCGACTTGCGCAAATGTCTTAAATGCACTCGTTGACTGTAAAATAGAATGTTTCTAGACACAAAGAGCACATTGTACACTAGGCATCACCGACGTCTTCCCACATGAATTTGCGCACATATCGACACATTGATACGCTTTGTACACAGGGTGTTCCAGGAGGAAAGGTCAATATTCTTGGAGGTGATAGTATCGGTCACTTTAAGCAAAAATGTTCGTATGAATGTATGTCCCATTCCCCACTGTTTCCGAGATATACAGCTGAATGTCTCGTGTATTCACTTTTCTTCTGTACACGTGGCTCTTCATCCAACCTCATAAACGTCTGCGGGAATTTACTCTTATACGTCTGTTGACTGTTGTGCTGATAAGATTGTAGAAATGTTAAAAATGCCTCGCATATTCACAAATGTCGAATATGCAGATACGCTATACGTTTGCGGTTTCTGCGACGGTAGTGCTACCGCTGCTGTTGAAGATTATCGTCGACGCTTCCGTCGCTTATCATCTGTAAAAAATGTATCACTTGAACAACAAATATTAGAAATAGTACGTAGTATTTCTTTCTTGTCAGTAACTTTGCAACTGTGCATTCAAATAGCTCTATCTCGGAAACAGTGGGGAATGGGACATATATCCATACGAACCAGTTTGCTTGAAATGACCGACATTGTCACCTCCCAGAATATTGACCTTTCCTCCTGGAACACCCTATACGCACATGGAAAATGTATATGTGTTCTACCTGTGCCTAAATATGCTTCATCCGAGAAGGCATCAGTGATTCCTAGTGTACACCAGGCTTTTCTATCTATGTATGCTAATGCTGCGTTTGCTAATTGCAATGAAATCTAATGAGTTTGCTGAAAACACTCGAGTCCAGACGGCGCGTACTGGCGGAGACTATCCTGCGGCGAGGCGATTTACACACCGGAAGAATACATAATATATTGAGAAGCGTGCGACGTCTGACGCGCGTCGACCGCGAGCGTGGAAAAAAAACCGGTTTTTATTCTCATGAATTATTCACCGCGTCGCGGAAAAACGCTCGTTTTTCCCCCTCGGGGTCAGCGTTCAGCGTTCTAAATACGGCGAGCATTGGTACCCATAGCATTTCCCATTGCACACGGCGACCTTCGCATATCCCAACTAACGAAATTCAACACCGCGCAGATATAAATAGAATTCTGCGCAGGAGAGTGCGATCTACTAGAACTCGAACCCGTGAACGCAAGAGAGTTGAGAAAACGCTCGGCCGCGGGGATGCTCTTCAGGGAGTCGAGGGAAGTAAGAAGGAGCGCGACGAGAGAGGCTCCTTCTGTCATTCTTATCGTGTTTGTTTTATCTCCGGGCAATATACATACATATATATATGATGGGCCTCCTTCCCTGTGAGTGTTGCAGTTTAGCGCGATCCGTGTCAACGTCCGGCAGACGCGCGCGCGATCTCCGTCGGATTGGACCGGTGATGATCGCGGATCGCGGGGCTCTGATATTGACCTACTTCGAATGGAGTGAAACCCGTGATCGGTGAAGGTAACGCGACGGGTGCCCACCTGTCTCCTACGTCAGTGTGGCCCGCGACTTCGTCGATCGGCGATCGCGGCACGCGGCCTCCTCGTGATACGGAGAGCGAGAGAGGAGAGAGAGAGAGAGAGAGATAAAGAGAGAGAGAAGAGCGGCCGGGGCACACACGTGTGCATGACGTCCGGTCGTCTCGCTCCCGTCCGAAATAGACCGAAAACAGCATGGTGTCTTGATCTATGATACGGGGGAGAGATAGCGGCCCGTGTTGATAATGGCCCAGTTGCAGCCCGAGATGCAACGGGTTACTAAGTACTTGGGAAGACGCGCGTCAGCGACGCGCTAGAGCGGAGTAGGCGAGGAAGTGTGTGCATCCAGCTTCGATGACGAATTAACGCCGACGACGTAATTTTTATTACAAGTCACTTTCAGTTGTCAGTAGAGCGCGCGCGGTCAGCGCGGCGAGTGCTGGCGCAATTTTTCCAAAGTTGCCCTGACATTTTGTCGCGCGGAGAGCCGGGAGCGATTGGAAATCGGACTCCGGAGGAGAGAAAGGACGAAGAGGACCATCGGGAGGAATGTCGTAGCGGTCGATCGACGGGGCGACACGCTGTAAGAGCACGCGCCGTAACAAGACTTTTGCGGACACACAGTTGAATTTATAGCGCGCCGGTGACGCTTGATTAATAAGAAATGATAATCGGCGACGAAGCGTGTCTTCTTCATCGGGCGAAAAATAATTGGACAATAATAATAAGCCACTGTTTAAACGAATAACTGTGACAATTGACTCGGACGGATAAACGAAAGAAAAGTGTTTTACAAAGGGAAGAGACCAAGTGACGAGAAGCGAAACAAAATTCGGCCTTCGATCTCGGAAGATGTACTCGCCGACGTTCATCAACAAGACATGCCTGGCGTCTCTGTTTCTGCTGTACTTCGTCGGGATGGACTTGCTGCTCTACTTTCGAGTGCAGGACTACGACGTACGTCCGTCCGCGAACAACACGCGAGCCACGCCGTATCGTTCGCCGATCCTGTGCGACCTGAATCCGATCTGCACGGTGACGGTGAAGGCGATGACGTTGGATCACCCTAATCACTACGTCCTGAGTCCCCTGGCGTCCCTGACAGATTATCTGCTGGGCATCAGTCGTTCCTGGACATGGCTGACGCCGAACGCCATCAGCGTTTCCCATGTGGCGGTGGCTGTGATCGGCGCCCGGTACGTCACGCGAAGTTCTCTCTTTCACCGACGAGTGGGTGTCGTCCTGTTCCAAGTCAGGGCCTGGCTGGACAACCTCGACGGCCACGTTGCGAGGACGAGGCTCAACGTCAAGGGCGAGAGATCGGACGTCGGCTCCATCGGTTACCTCGTGGACGGCCTCTGCGACGGTCTCGGCTGCATCGCGCTCGCGGTCGCGGTTTTCCTCTTCCTGAAGCGCAACTCTAATCACCGCGCCGGCTACGAGCGGCTGCCCATTCGGACGTTATCGTCGTTATCGTCGTCGTCCTCGTCATCGTCGTCGTCATCATCGTCGTCGTCGTCGTCCTACAATTCCGTCTCTCCCACCTCGTTCTGGAGATCACCTTTGTACAACATGCTGATGGTGGGCCTCCACTTTACCCTCACGAGCATCGCTTGGAACCGGTACATCTCTGTATACCAGGATCTCCTGGAGACCGATGTCTCCTCGGCGATCGGCCGCGAGGATCTCTACGATCGGCAGACCGCCGTCTTCAGGAGTTCATCCTTCTGGGCGGTCGCCCTCGCGTGGAAGATTTTCAACTTTCACGCGATGATGGACTATATGCTTCTGGCAATATTTCTGGATCGCATTTGGGAATACGTCAGGTACGCGTGGTGGCAGCTGCCCACGGTCTTGTTTCTGCTTATCCTCATAAGTGAGCTTCACTACACGAACACTTACGTGAAAATACTGTCGGTGAACGAAAGCTTGCGGTCTTCCCTGTTCGCACTTCCCGATCCATAACAGTCGCTTTCTTCTCATTTGTCCTCGGCGCGTATTTATATGTAGCTTTAATAGTGGACGCTCGCTAGAACATGTTTCTTTAATATTTGTTTCTCAAAAGATGACTATGATTATTATATTAATGATCATATTATTATACAAATTTTTATATTGAAGTAAAAATTAAGGCGCATTAGAGTATATTAAAAATTCTAAATTGACAATGTGAAGTTGTCGCGAATTATGACTTTCTATTTAATTCCTTTTGGTGTTCAATGAACGTAAAAGAGATTAATATATGCCTCGTGTGCTATTGATGTTATTAATAAGATACTTAATAAAAAATACGTATGTGTATAAAAATGTATACTTAAAAATATAATATAATCTAAACATTTTATATTCGAAATATACATAATTGAGATAGAGTTTTAATGTATATACCTAAGCGTTGTTATACATATATGTGATATATAAAAAGTATTATAAGAAGATTGCTTGTATTCGTAAATCTTAAACTTTCAGATGTGCAATTTTGTCTTGACGAAATAGCGTAACAAATATTCTAATACATAAGTAAAAACCGAAATCCGTAAAATAGTTCTAACGCAACACGTTCCAATGTTTTTATTTTTATCGCTGCAACACAAGACGTGCGTCGAAGTGGGTCAGTTATTGACTACACCTAGGCATTTTTATCTAATCCAGTGCCAAGACTGTTACCTAACTGCAGCACGAGTATGACGAGCGTATACAAAAACCTATTACGCGCACGTAAGATGTAAAAACCTTGTAAGCCTCGTAATACTCTGGATAGTGTGCGATCAATGCCAATAGTTGCGCTCGATATAAGGTTTCGTCGAATTTTATAACGCCGTGGCTAGTACTTTGTATCATTTTTATAGTGGAAACGCGCAATAAAATATTTTTATACAAATGATTTATCTCTGAAATACCTGTTTTATCGTTTCCCTCGAAAATAAATCCTACAACGCAATAACATTTTTTTCAGAATTATGCAAATAAATTTTTACTTTGTACACGTTATGTAATAATAAAAAATATTAACTTATTCGCGCGGACATATCAATAGTATTATCTTACTAATAAAATATTCTCTTTTGCGCTTGTGATAAGGCGCACATTGTGTGTAGGTACACTTGTCATTCAACTTAACTTTTTGTATCGTAATATACGCTGTTAAATTTGACTCAATAAGTAAAGTCCTTGCTGCTCCTACTCAATATGTTGCTACTTTTAACTGCCATGTGCAGTCAAGTTTATTATTTAAACACAAATTGTAGTTAGAAAAAGAACTACCCCTTTTATTCAATTCATTTTATGGTTTCTTCAATTAAATCATTAATTAAATTCAATTAAACTTCATTAATTAAATTAACGACATTGAGTAGGAATAGTGGTGATTATTCATTAAGTTAAATTTAAGACAAATTTAACAGTATAATGCACAATACCACTACCTAATAAGTCTTGAGAAGTGAATTAATATTGTGATATAAATCGTATTTTTCATTTTTCAGTATCTTTTCGAGGCAGGATGGTGTGCGGATGGAAAAAAGATCGGCATCACCGAGCCCAGGAGAGTCGCCGCCACCTCTCTGGCGAATCGCGTGGCCGACGAGCGCAATTGCATTCTAGGAACCACTGTGGGTTATTGCATACGCTTCGATGATTACACTGATGAAACAACTAAGATTAAGGTACAACGCGACGTTGAGTGCCAAACAAATAGACCGCAAACGCAATTTTCACTTGGAATAATTCGCAACTTAACGGCATCAGTCGTGAGAATTGATTTTTGAATGTTATCATCAATTTGTTTTCACGATTTGTCATCATATAATGGCATCATGATGTCATCAACTGAATGCAGTTAATTACATATGACTCACGCAACAACAACTGCGTTATACTCTCATTGTCCAATCGTTATATGTTTATATTACCGGCAGTTTAAGGTGGTTCTTGCACGAAGGAACGTTTAGTATGAGTGTTTTGGTGGGGCCCTTTTAATTTTTAAAAATTCATATGACTTTCCATTTAAAAAATATCACTTAATGCATTATTGATCAAATGCATTGATATGCTAGGTTATACAGGGTGTCTCATTTTTAATGATCCACGCAAATATCTCCAAAAATATGAAAGATGCGGAAAAACGTTTCAAACAAAAGTTGTTTGGTTCGAAGGAGGACATAAAGTGGTGCCATTGACATGACCTTGGGCAGTCATTTAAAGGTCACGCGAAGGTCACCTTCAATTTTTTAAACGGAACTCCCTATACTTTTTTATTATACTATCTTATTCTACTAATTAAATATGAACAACTTTTGTCTGAAACATTTTTTGATTTGCCTAATACTTTTTGAGATATTCAAGAGTTTATAACTTTATCGATGTTTAGCTTATGATATCTCGATAACTGTTTGTCGGAGGGTAAAGTAGTACAGGACTTTTTTTACTTGATTTGGTCTCAGGAATATGCTGTTGCAATAGTGCTTCAATTATTGAAAATTTTGGTGTATGTAAATTTTGTGTATGTTACAATACACAAAAATTTTTATTGATGATATTGATGTTATGTAACTGTTACTTGGTGTTTACTGAAATGTTAAAAAATACAACTTTAATACTTTTTCTTTATTTCATTTCATCGGCAACCGTCTGAAATTTCGCGCACTGATAGATAAAATTTACAACTACAACATACTTAAATTTCAATTTGTTCTACCTTTGGTCGGTTTATGCAGGAGCCACCTTAAGTTATTTATTTTATCAATATATAAAAGTTAGAAATAATGTCAGCGTTTTATAATAACACGAAGCTAATATAAACCGCCTTTGTAGTATATGACAGAGGGCATTCTTCTACGGGAATTAATGAGCGATCCGTTATTAACAAGCTACTCGGTCATTATCCTGGATGAAGTGCACGAAAGAACGCTCTTGACTGATATCATAATGGGACTGTTGAAGAAAATAATCAGGGTAAATTCATTGATGTGTTTATCTCCGTATACCCATAGTTCCTTCGCGCGGGACACGATAAGTTGTGACACGCTATCTAATGAAACGTTTCAGAAACGGAAGAGTCTGAGAATTATTGTATCGTCGGCGACGGTGGACGCGGAGGAGCTACGAGATTTCTTTAACGTAAATACGACGAAGGACTCGAGTAAAGATAGCGCCGTTATCATGAGCGTCGAGGGGCGGTTGTATCCGGTAGATGTATTCTTTCTGAAAGGTACACACATACACATGTATATGCACGCGCAGAGCCACATCCGTGATCAAACTTGTAAGTCTTGTAACTTTTGCCATTTAATTAAGGTCGTATCGCGTGTTGCAGAACCGGTGGCGAATTATGTTAACGGTGTAGTGGACACCGCTCTAAAAATACATGAGACAGAAGAGCCGGGTGATATCCTGGCGTTTCTCACAGGTCTCGACGAGGTCGATCAGGCCGTCTCTCTCTTGTCGGAACACGCGAAGCTTATAAAAGACGACAAACGTGAGTAAAGCGATTTGCTATTCTTTCAATAATATCGTAAAGGCAATATGAAAACTTGTGTGATTGCTCCGCGCGGGAACGGAGGGAGCAATTTTAACGCGTTTTAACGTATGGTTATAAAAAATTACAGCTTTGTTAAGGTGAATAATTTATTTCTCTAGAGAAGCTGCTTCCGTTGCCGATGTACGGATCGCTTCCGAACGCGGAGCAGCTTAAAGTGTTCTGGAGGGCAGCCAAGGATACTCGCAAAGTTATCGTAGCGACCAACATCGCGGAAACGTCTATTACTATTCCAAATATTGTTTACGGTATAGTAGCGCACTTTTTACCCTTTGTGACGCTTGGCTCGAGGACATTACATAATTACGACTTTGTAATGTGCAGTAATCGATTGCGGTTTCGTCAAGATACCTTGGTTCGAAGCGGAAGCGCAGACGAACAGCCTCGTTATTGTGCCCGTATCGAAAGCTTCCGCCAACCAGCGAGCCGGCCGAGCAGGTCGCGTACGTACTGGAAAAGCATTTAGGTAAGAGAAGCGAGCAATTATTTTTGTTTGTATATTAATTCTGAATGTAGAAGTTATCGCGCGGACTGACAAAATATTTTGTAATCTTACTTCTGTGTAATCTAGATTGTACACAGAAGAGGCTTATGCTGAATTGTTCGAGGCTACTCCACCGGAAATGCAACGGTCAGATTTGGCGCCGGCGATACTGCAACTGAAGGCCCTGGGCATCGATAATGTGTTGCGCTTCAATTTTCCATCCGCGCCGCCCAGCAAGAATCTAGTTACGGGATTGGAATTACTTTATGCATTGGGTGCAATCGACAGTAATGGAGATTTGACGACACCGTTAGGTCTAACGATGGCGGAGATGCCTTTGGAGCCGGTGCTGGCGAAATCCTTAATCGTGTCTGGTATATAAATGGAAATGACGATAAAATCGCTATTCTGGCAATAAATTTATAAGTTTTTTTTTATCGACAGGTGAGATGGAATGTTCCGAGGAAATCACAACAATATTCGCCATGCTGCAAGTTCAGAATGTTTTTGTGCAACCCGGTGGAGGGCAAGCGGCTTTAAAAGCGAGAATAGCACATCGCAAATTTGAGGTGGAAGAGGGAGATCTTCTTACTTTGCTGAACGTTTACACATCTTTTGCACAGAACAAAACGCCCGCCTGGTGCCAGAAGCATTTCCTTAACCATAAAGCTTTGCGGAGAGCTATGGAAATCCGCGCTCAAATGCATAAAATGCTGAAACGCTTAGACATTCCACTGGTGTCCTGCAATGGTAGGAAACTTGAATTTAATTGTAAATGTAATGTTATATATATATATATTAAGTTGGCAAAAGTAGCCAACTTGAAAATAGTGGTAGATTGTGTTAAAATAAGGAGAAATGTCATGTGCCGCGGTACAAAAGTAACAATAGTTATCGAGTAATTAATTTACACGTTTGAGCGAATAAGGATGCAGGAGACGGTAGGCCGGACTTGGAAGGCATTTAAGAAAATCGATCGATGAGCGGGAGGTGGAGCGACGCGCGAGATACACCATGGTGGGAAAAAACCTAGGTGCGGCGGGGAGCGCGGCGCGGGCGACGAGCGCGGCAGCGAGCGCGAGCGACGGGCGACCCGAAATATAAACATGATCTCGCCTGTCGCTCCACCTCCCGCTCATCGATCGATTTTCTTA